GATCTCAGCTCGATCGGGTAACTTTGAAGGCCAAAAAGCACTCTGGCGGGATCGGCCGTTTCGAGTCATCTCGATATGCGCTGACGGTTTTCTGAACATAACTCGAGCTCTAGGGCAGCTACAGTGCTGGTAAGCACAGCTAACGCATGTAGAATTATCAGGCGCGTTTGCCTGTTGAACCCAGAGGTCTGAACTCGGTCTGTCAGCCGAGCTAGGTTCGCAAACCTGTTTGTAATATTCGAGTCAACTTGACACGCGTTGTAGATATTTTCTACTTAACTCGAGCTATAGGGCAGCTACAGTGCTGGTAAGCACCCCTATCGCACTCAGAATGATCAGACGCGTTCGCCTGTTGAATCCATAGGTCTAAACTCGGTCTGCTAGTCGAGCTAGATCCGCAAACCTATTCGTATTATTCGAGTCAACTTGATACACGTTGTCGGTATTTTCCACTTAACTCGAGCTGTAGGGCAGCTACCGTGCTGGTAAGCACACCTACCGCACTCAGAATCATCGGACGCGTTCGTCTGTTGACTCCAGAGGTCTGAACTCGGTCTGCTAGCCGATCCAGAATCACGAAACTGTTCGTATTCTTCCAGTTATCTTGAGAGCTACTGTCGGCGTTCTGCACTTAATTCGGGCTGTAGGGAGGCTGCAGGGCGGGTAATCACAGGAATCGATTCGGAGACATCAGACGCGTCCGTCTGTCGCATTCAGAGGTCTGGACTCGGTGTGATACTCGAGTTGGGCTCAAAAACTATTCGTTCTCTGCAATTTTTTCCGACAGTATATGTTGTCAGGAAGCTCTACGAGTCCCCCGGCGGTAACAAAGGTTGACGGTTTACCGCCGGCGCCCAGTTGCCGGGCCGAACGAGCGCCTGCGGGGATTCTGGAGCGCCGCGGAGGAGCTCCTGGCGGGCACCACCACCGCACGGATTCCAATCTTAAACCCTTTAGCTCTCAGCGAGCTCGCCGGGAGAAACCCGGAGAGCAAAGAGAACACACGCCGGAAAACCTTCCTGGCAAGCCCACGGAAGCGCGCGTGAAGCTCTTCTGGGGCTCTGGGGGGCTCCCCGGCAGCGCTTCCGAAGCGCTGCCGGGAACGTTTCCACGCGTGCCTGCAGGCACGACTAGACGCTCGCCGAAAGCTCTCCCGGACACGCTGCCGGGTCAGGCGAGCTGCTGCGAGAATTCTGGACCGGCGGAAATGGGCTGCTGGCGGGCACCACCACCGTCCGGCTTGTAATCTTAAATCCTTTAGCTCCCACCGAGCTCTCCGGGAAAAACCACCCAAGAGTTCTCACATTGTCCGCCGCGGCCGGGTGGGCCAACTAGCTCCACCCCGCGCCGGAATTCCTCTACCTCATCGATGACGAAGAGCTCGACGAGGTACTTGGCAGCGTCCACTGGGGGCCGGCGGTGAACCGTCAACCTTCCTTACCGCCGGGGACTCGTAGAGCTTCCTGACAACATATAATGTCGTAAAAAATTGCAGAGAAAAAATATTTTTCGGCCCAAGCAATTTCAGGCCTCTCCTGCATGCGACAGGCAGACGCGTCTCATCTCTCTGAATCGATTTCTGTGATTACCAGCCTTGCAGCCCCCCCTACAGCCCGAGTTAAGTGCAGGAAACCGACAGCACCTCTCAGGATGACTCGAACAATACGAATAGTTTCGCGGACCTAGTTCGGCCAACAGACCGAATTCGGAGCTCTGGATTCGAAAATCGGATGCGTCTGATGTCTCTGGATCGATTGATTACCAGCCATGCAGCTCCCTTCAGCCCGAGTTAAGAACAGAGAACCGACAGCGTCTCGCAAAATGACTCGAACAATACGAATAGTTTCGCGATTTTACATCGGGCAGCAGACCGAGTTCAGAGCTCAGACAAGGGCCACTGATGATACTGAATCAGATTCTGTACGTACCAGCTCTGTAGCTGTCCTGTAGTTCGGGTTAAGTACAGAAAACCGAGAACATCTGTCAAGATGACTCGAATAATACGAATAGGGTTGCGGACCTAGCTCAGCTAGCAAACCGAGTTCAGATCTCTCGGTTCAACAGGCGAACGCGCCTGATCATTCTGAATCGATTAGTGTGCTTACCAGCTCTGTAGCTGTCCTGAAGCTCGAGTTATCTTGAGAAAACCGTCACCGCCTATGAAGATAACTCGAAACGGCCGATCCCGCCTGCCTGCTTTTTGCCAGTAAAAACTACCCGATCGAGCTGATATCAAGATCGCGAGCGTGAATAAGATCGAATATGATGGAAAAAATACGAGAGCTCTAACGAATGTTCAAATTTTGAGAACAAAATTTTCAACTGACCAAAAGTCATCAAAAGGTCCGTCGAGATTTTTCTTGCCAGCTAGCTCTCCAGCGCCCCGGAATTACTCTTGAGCTTCCAGCAATAACTTGCTAAGGGAAGCTCTACGAGTTACTGGCGCCGGCGGTAAACCGTCAACCTGGTCACCGCCGGAAACCTCGTAGAGCTCCTAGCACGCGTAAGAGTGCGCAGCATTGAAAGAAAGGCCTTCTGGAAGCATTTCTCGAAAAGAAGAAACATGATTTTTTTCATGTCGACATAAAGTTGGTTCCTCCAAGTGTTTTGATAGTAAAAGTGCATGTAGAGAGCTCATATGAAGACGCAAAGGCCCTCATAGTGGTTCACAGGTGCCAAAAAACTGCTTTCTCAAAATACATGGTCAAATATCTTTCAAATATTCGCAAAACCATCCAAAAGTTGCCACATTGTCCGCCTCAGCCGGGTGGGCCAACTAGCTCACCCTGCGCCAGAATTCCTCTAGCTCATCGATGCCGAGGAGCTCTACGAGGTACTTGGTAGCGTCCAAAACCCGGAGAGCAAAGAGAACACACGCCGGAAAACTTCCTGGCAAGCCCACAGAAGCACGCGTGAAGCTCTTCTACTTGGATGGCCGCGGCGGCTGCTAGGTGGTTAGCGCGGATACTAAGGGCTTAGAGGATTTAGTATGTACGTACAAGTGAGTTGTAAGTAGGTTATAAGTGTTGTAAGTCGGATGTAAGTTGTATAACCAGCTACAACTGGTTAGTAAGAGATACTAACCACTTATAGCTGGAGGCTAACCTTGCTAAGTCTCTAGTAGAGGTTAGCTCGCTAAGTCCCCACTCTAGCTACCACTTGCTAACCACTTAGTAACTACTTAGCTGCCACTTAGTAACCACCCAGTAACCACTTACTAACCACTTAGTAACCACATAGTAAGTCCGCTAGCTAGCTTACTTACTAAGTGGTTAGCGGACTTACTAAGTGGTTAGCGGACTCTGAGAAGGAGAAGGAGGAGGAGAAAGAGGAGGAGAAGGAGGAGAAGGAAGAGAAGGGGGAGAGAGGAGGAGGAGGAGAAGGAGGAGGAGGAGGAGAAGAAGGAGGAGATGTCGAGGAGAAGGTAGGGAAGTAAGGATGAGTACCAGGGTTGAAGGGAACATAAGGAAAAAAGGAGTGAGGACAGTGGGGGAGCGGGCGTGCGGGAGGCGGCGACGGTGCGCGTCCTCAAGCCCAAGTACCGGCCGCTCGACGCGGCGGGCCCCTGCAGGGCCTGTCCGCGGGCGGAGCGCATCCTGCGCTTGGTCTGATCGCGGGCGCAAGGCGAAACAGTTCGGCCTGCGCCGTGCTTGCGCCGCCATCCAGTCGGCATTGCTGGCTAGGCGCGGCGGCGGGTGTGGCCCCGCGCGCCGTGCTCGGACCAGCCAGAGCGGCCCAACATGCACGTATGGCCGTTCTCACGTGTTGCGCCAACCCAGAGGGTTGGGGGACGACGACGTGCGACGGGCCGATGGCTGCCGAGCCCGTCCCACCCCTCGGGGATGTCGAGGAGGATCCCCGACATCCCCGAGGGGTCCTCCGAGAGGAGACTGCCCCATGGCTCGGGGTCGCCATCGAAAAACATGTTTTGATATGTTTTTCGATGGCGATCCCGAGCCGCGAAGCAAAGGGAAAAGGGAGGGCGCGCTCCCCGCGCGGCCTGTAAGCCGCACGCGCGCGGGCGGCGTGTCGGCGTCTCCGTGCCCCCCGTGTTCTTGTTGGAAGGGGAGGTTTTTATATTTTTTTCCCCCCTTGTGGGGGGGGGAGTTTTTGGGAATTGCTGTTTTTTTTTTCTTTTTCTTTTTTGGATTCTGGGATGGGGTGTGGTTTTTTTTTTTGTGTGTTGTTTTTTTTTTTTGTGTATCCCTGCTATCCTTCTCTACTCCTCTCCTTCCTCCTCCTCCTCTCCGCTCTTCTCCCTCTCCTCCCCCTCCTCCTCCTTCCCTTTTCCTTTCTCCTTCTCCTCTCTCTCCTTCTTCCTCCTCCTCCTCTTCTCCTCTCCCCATCGTTCCGCTCGCCCTCCTGCTCTACGGCAATCATCATATGCTACCTCCCTCGGCCTTCTCCTCCTCATTCCTCCTCTCACTTATCCTTCACTAACCCTCCGCTCTCCATCGTGCATTCTCCTCCCCCATCCCCTCCTCATCCTCGCTCCTCCTCCTTCTTCCCTTCCTCTGCTCTCTCGCTCTTCTCCTTTCTCCTTCCCTCCCTTCTCCTTCTCTCTCTCCTCCTCCTCCTCCTTTTTTTCTCCTAGCCTTCTTGTCCTTACTCCTCCTCCTCCCCCCCCCCCCCTCCTCCTCCCCATCCTCCTCTCGCTCTGAGCTATCTCGTCGTTTTCCTCCTCCTTATGCTCCTCCTCCTCCTCCTCCTTCTCCTTCTCCTCCTCCTCCTTCTCCTCCTCCTCCCTCTCCCCCTCCTCCACCCTCCCCCCCTCGTCAGAGGAGGGGGGGGGGAGGAGAAGGGGGAGGGGGGGCAAGATGAGGAGGAGAAGCAGCAGTAGGAGCAGGAGAAGGAGGGGGAGAAGGGGGGGGACGCGGGGAAGGAGGAGTTTGAACGACCGCACCACTGTCTGGCGGGGGCGCGAAGCATGCAATGATACTTGCATGGTTGTGAGCCCCTCGCTGGCGGTACACTTGCAATGCTTGCTGTCAACGTGGGACCTCACGCGCTTCTCGCCGAAGATCGCGTACGTGTCGGGGGAGATGGAGTGGCACCCTGGAAACGACCAGTCCTGGAAATATGCGTCTGCGCGCGCCCAGTAACCCTTCAACCTTCGAAACATTTGGAACACCAGAATGTTATATGTACCGTTGACGAAAATACAATGCATCCAATCAAACATGACTGTCTCGAGCGGCTTGAGTGTCCGAACCCGCTCAGGCAAATGTGGGTCCCAGTTCCAGCCAAGTCGGCGCTCCAACTCCTGGAACTCGCCCTTGTTCATGATGTTGACCCCTTCGATCAATATGTTGCAGATGGCATCGAGCAACGGCGCCGTCATCGGCTGCAGCCGCGACGCATCTGGTTCCGAGTGGTGAACAGCGGCACCCGTCGCATCAGAAGCAACTATATCCCGAACTTCGCCCTTCAAGAACACGTTGCGGCACATAAAACATGGTTTGATTCCTGACGAACCTTTCATTCCGATCAAGCGGCGTATTGCATCCTCGTCCGCGATCCGACAGAGCCGCTGCAGCGACGCAAGAAGGCGTAAAGGATATATACATGTGCACATGTATGCTAACTAATCTTGGGTGCTATGCGGCGACCGCTGCAGCGGCTGAATGTAAATTCCGAGGTCCATCTGGATGAGCTCCGTCGCGCCGTCGGGGCGCAGCCGCAAGCTGATGCCGGCGCTGAAGTTGCGCCCCTGATCAGGCCAGAACTGCGCGAGGATTGCGTCCAGTAGCATCGTCAGTCCGTGCGGCTGGATGTCGCTCGCGGTCTTGGCCCGCATCGTCGCGAGCTGGAACCACGCATCCTGCGAACAAATCGCAGCACAACTGGCGCTGCAGCGCCTCTCTCTCTCTCTATCTCTCTCTCTCTCTCTCTCTCTCTCTCTATCTCTCTCTACCCCTCTCCCCCCCCCCGCATATATCGTTGCTGCAGCAACGCTATCGCGAAAGTCCTCCGACGAAAGCGCCTGCGGGCCGAATTCCGCGATCGTCCAGTAGATGCCCCAGGACTTGCGGTTCTGCACCTGCGCCAGCGCGTTGCCAGCGCCTATTTCATCGCCGTAAATGATGATGTGCCACGGGCGTGGCAGCTCCAGCGCCCGCTGCCACAGAGGCTGCATCGCGGGGAGGGCGCTGCAATACCACAGCATTGCTGCTGGACTGCAGATCTCCACCGTGTGCTGCCCGACTATCATGTTCTGGTGGAGCTTGCCGTACGGCGTGTTCTCACCGACCATGAGCTCCCGAGCGTCTCTGATATCCTGGCGTCGGGATCCCAATTCGGGGATTCCGTCTCGCTTAACGGACGCCAGGAATTGCGCCATCGCATTACAATGCATGAATGGCAGTTCCGCGCGAAGGCGGGACACCCGCCGCAGCTTCGCTGGGCGGTCGCCCTCTGCCGCCATCGCGCGCGTTCCCGAGGCAAGCTTGCCTCCGTCGCTGCGCGCGCGCGGAGGGGCCCCTCCGCTAGGGGCCACGGCGACTACGGATGGAAATGAGGCTGCACCGCGTGGAGAGCAACCAAATGCGCGCTGCAGCGCTAACTGCCAAGCAACAGTCTGGGAGCACATGGCGCTACAGCGCCGCTAACGTCCAATAATGACAATATGACGCGCTGCAGCGCGAACGTCCTCCTCCTCCTCTATCCTGCTCGCCATCCCCCTCGTCCTCCTCCTTTTCCTCCCCCTCCTATACCTCCTCCTCCTCCTCTTCCTCCTCCTTCTCCGCCTCATCCTTCTCCTCCGCCTCATGCGCCCCCTCATCCTCCCCATCCTCCTCCTCAACCTACTTATCCTCCTCATCATCCGTCTCCCGTCCCCTCATCCTCCCCGTCACCATCACCTTCATCGTCAACAGCATCAATATCACTCGCCCTCATCATCCGCCACATCGCCATCCAACGAGAAACTGCAAGCGAAACTGCGCTGCAGCGCAACACATTAACACATCATGATCCGCGCGCAAACTTTCAACCGTGGTCCACGGAGAAGCGCTGCAGCACAACTCAAACAACACGCTCAACCACGTTCCCTCCAGCCTTTACCAATCAATCGAACCAGCATGCTTCAGCAGGCGGTCGCCGAGGCCGACCTCACTCAGGTCACCTTCATCTTCTTGGTGTTCCCTCCACGCAAACGATGGCGACTGCGACGCGCGAGCCAAGTAAGGAGGAGAAGGAGGAGGAGAAGGAGGATGAGAGGGAGGAGGGCATGCCATCGGCAACGCGCAACATGAGCGAATCACAGCGCTGCAGCGCGTGACTTGGCAACAACCATGCGGGAGACAACGCTCGACATCACGAATGATGGCGCTGCAGCGCGTATCGACGTGGAACGACTGGCACTCAAGACGAGCACGTCACGCAATGCATGGACACCGCGGTTGCAACTGCACACTCACAAACGCGCCAACGCTACAACGGCACCACAAGTCTGACAGGCGCTGCAGCGCTGCATCGGAACACAACAGCACGCAATATCTACTCCACCATCCAGGAAAGCGAGCGCTGCAGCGCTGCATCGTGATCATGATGGCGATGCAAACGTTGAACACAAAGGCGCCAGCGCTGCAGCGCCCGCATCCAAGAGAACCCGTCAACATATTTGACTTTCATCCTCCTCGTCGTCCGTGCGAGCCGCGCGACCGCCAGGCAAGACCATCGCCACTACCGTTCATATCATCGGCCAGCGTTCCATCCAACCTCGCACTAATAATCCCCACCATCCTCCTCATTCCTTCTCCTCCATATGCTCATCCTCCTCGTCATCCTCCCCATCCTCCTCCTCGCCCTCATAATCCTCATCCTCACCTCCATATGCCGACAGTGCCCGTTGCGCGCCCACGGCTTGCCGCGACGGCCAGTGAAGTTCGGGTCGCGGCACGTGCCGCAGCCATTCGGCAGGTAGCGGCATTTGCTGCACCCGAGTACCATTTGGCCCCGCTTGGCTGTCGCCTTGCCCTTGGCCTTGGGCTTGGCCTTGGCTTTGGCCTTCCCTTTGCCATTGGCCTTCGGTTTGGCCGTGCCCTTGGCCGCCGTCTTGCCCTTGCCAGCGCCTGTCTTGCTCTTGCCCTTGCTCGCGCTCTTGCCCTTGCCCTTCTTGCCCTTGCCCTTGCCCTTGCCCTTGCGAGGCAGCTCGCCTTTTGCGCTGCCCGCAGCCAAGGTCTCGATCGCCTGCAGCACAGCATCTTCGTCTCCGTCTGCTGCTGCAGCAGCATCTTCGTTTGGCGGCGGTGGCGCTGCTGCAGCAGCATCTGGCGTCGCCGCTGGCAATGCTGGCCCAGCTGGCGGATCACCAATCGCGGGGGGGCTCGCGGGGGGGCTCGCCTTGGGCGCCGCAGGGCGGCGCGGGAAGAGCTGCAGCTGCAGCTCGTTGGGCGGCGATGGCGGTGGCGCAAACGCTGCCAGCATTTGCTGCATCACGGCCATCGCGTCCATGGGTTGCACTGGTGCTGCAGGCGGCGCGGAGGGTGACCCCGATGGCGCCCATGGCACAATGGCAGTGCTCGGCTGATGCGGCGGGGTGGCAGCCCGCAAGCCCTTGTTGGCCAGCCTGAGAGGCACGCGAGCCTTGATGGCGTTGAGACCCGCAGGCCGCTTCAGCGGCGCACGCGTAGCATGAAACCTATCATGCTCTATGCGAGGTGGACCTAAAGGACCAAGCTCGCCGAAGCACCCAAGACATCCATAACAATCAGCGCTGCAGCGCATGACGGGGCGGCAGCAGCCTCGTAGATACGATACCACGTTGGCGAGGTCGCGCGTCACATCGATCGGCGGGTCCGCATCGGTGTACGCCGCGTCGAAGATGTGCTGAGGGAGCTGCCGAGGATCTGCTGGGAAATTCCAAGTCACTGTCGCCGCTTGCCCCGTCGCGCCCCTGCGGCTCGCCAAGAACTGACCCTGTAAAGGGCGACTCGTCGGGAAACCCTAACGCTGACGCGCCGCATCGCATTGGCTGCAGTCAGTGCGATGCGATGCGTCTGCGTTAGGCGTTCCCGCCGAATCCCAAACCTTCATCTCCGTCACGATCCCGTAGAGCTGCCCAGGGTCTGCGTCTGGAAGATGGGCGCATGTCATCAACGCCGCCAACTCTTTCAGCGTGTTCTCGCTCGGAACCGTCAAGCCGATGGCACCGCAACGTTTGAACAACGCGCGCACCTTCGCGACGATGCTCTGGCTGGGGTCGCGAAATAAACCCCAGTCCTGCATGGCAAAGTCCACCAGCCTACGATGCGACGCAGGCATGCTGCAGCATGCTAACATAAGTACATTTGAAAAATGAACATGGTAACATACATAAAGTACAGAACAAACAATTAAACCATACATGTGAATTACACTTCGGCGGTCCGATGTGCAAAGCACGATGGATAGCACCGCCCTGACGCGAGCGTCTGCACGCGCATCTGGAGCGTGGGCGTCGCCGTGCCCACGCGCGCGGCCAGCACGGCGCTGAGGCGCGCCTTGTGGCTGTCCGCGAAGCCCGACGCGGTGATTCGATTCTGCAGGGTAGCTGCTTGGGCAGCCCCGATCGTCCCCAAGTTGTGAAGCTGCAGCTGCACGCTCATGGAGAAGGCGGACTGG